TTGATTAGTAGTAGCGAAAAGTGGCAACATAATGGGATAGAGGATTAATGGGGAAGGCAGGAAACATGTCTCAGACACAAGGGGAATGCAGACACACACACACACAGTGGCAGAGTGAAAGCCAAAAGGGATAATGTAAATGTTAACCATAATCAAGGAGACAACCGCAAAAGGCATTCAGCCCTTTCTCTATCTACACCTATTTCTCTTTCTCTATCTTTCTCTCAGAGCATATACCTATGTATGTTTGTGTGTTCTCCTCTTCTCTCTGTATGTGTGTGAGTGCGTGTGTGTTCATTTTCTACTTGAGAAGAAGTTCGTGCTAGAAGTTAAGTCAAACTTTTGACACTTTTTCTTCTTGTTGTCCCGACTGCCTGCATCGTTTGCCGTTCGCTGGGCATTTCCCTGGAGGGAAATCCTCCCAGTGGTATGGGCAAAACGTGACAAAGTCCCAGAAAACTGCCTCAACCGCAGCAGCAGCAGCGGCAGCAACAGCAGCAGCAACCTCTTTTAAGTGGCAGCAAAGGATGGGGTACCCCCTATGAGTAGGCTTTAATTTATTATCTGCAATTGAAAGTCGAACATTAAATGGGAGATAAATAGAGCTTCTGAGGAGATTTAGGTGAATGATTCTATAGAACTGTTGAAATATATTTATGGAAATTTTCCATATTCAACTGCAACACAACATAGCAGAAATTTTTCTCCCACAAGCATCTACTGTTTTTATTGAGCTTGCAGCAAATATGGGAGAAACGAGTATATACAGATATACATATGTATGTATATATGTACATGTATGGAGAAATGTGTCTGGAAACATCCACGCCCCTGGGGGAATCACACGAAGAAGCCAATAGAGTGAGAGAGAGAGAGGGGTGGAGGAGTGACCCCCTTAGCTACGTTGGGAAAAAATATGAGACGCACATGGCATACATATAAATTCCCTAAGTTCAGACATTGGAAGAAAAGCAAGGAAAAGGCACAAACTAAATGGAAACCCAAAAGAAAAAAATAAATACAAAAAAAGGAAGGAAAAAAAGAAAACTTAGGACGTCCAGCAGACAAAACCAACAAAATATAAGAACAAAACAAAACACAAAATAAAGAGAAAAAAAAGAAAAATAATAAAAAAAAGGATTTACAATAAAAGCAAACAAAAAAACACGAGCTTCAAACAACAACTGGGGTCGAGGAAAAAAACCGAATAGGAGCGACAGAGAAAGATAGAGGGAGTGAAGAATGGGGAAAAAAACCTTTGTGCACAATGCGGGCCACATTGAGGACGACCAAAAGCGGCAGCAGCCCCAAAAACCAGCAACAGCAACACCACAACCCACAAGCCACCCCCTCACTGCTACACAGCAAACGCCAGTTCCAAACCTCCTCTGGCACCCATTTCCCCAGTTTCTGCCTCTCCTCTCCCCTTCAAAGCAGCACAAAACAAAAATTCAACGAACCAAAAGTCCACATGGGGCTACAGCAACGGCTGCTGCTGCCGCTGTCTCGGCGGCTGCTGTGCTCGACAGTAACGAAATGAATGAAAAAAAACTGCTTCAGCTGTACATATGTACATATATACAAATACATATTCACATATACTATATAGAGAAGAGAAGCCGAAAAAGTGCGCTCCAAAAAAAATAGAAGGAGGAAAAGTGTATGTGTGTGTGTGTGCGTGTGTGTGTTTATGTGAATGTGTATGAGAGTGAAAGAGATTGTGCTAGAAATTGCGCAAAAAAAAATAACAAGAAAGAAATGGTGCGGTTTTTTTTTGGATGATAGCCGAAATTTTGATACTCTTAAATGTCTATTTATCCCATAATATTTCAAATTTAGATGGAGACTACTTTCCATAGTATAACAATCCTATAGCGGCTTTAAATGATTATCAGTAATCTAGTAAATAATTTCAAGATCCAAATTTCAGAAAAGGTATTGCGTAATACCCTTTGATTCATGTCTAACCAAATTTGTGGAGACTGTTGGAAAAAAGAAGATCTGGTCTCTGAGTGAGGTTTTTGTTTTTTGGTTTGGTTTGCGTTTCGTTTCGTTGAGAGCGATGTTCATGTTGGTTTAGGTCTGGTCTGGTCTCTGGTCCTCTCTAGAGGAAGGTGGGGACGGTCTGTGTCAGGGGGTGTGGCAGTGGTCTGGTGGATGGCTTCGTGCCACAGAGCTCGCTGATACCATAACGAGGGACACCAGCGGACAAACGCCGACAGAGAAGAGATGACGATGATGTCTGCCTGAATATACGAGTGTATATGGCTGTGTGTGTGCTTTGTGTGTTTATGTATATATGTATGCATCCATATATATTTGCTTTTGCTGCTGTCTGTGTGCTAACGATGAGTGCCAGACCCGCCCAAACCCCAGACGAGACCCAGACCCGTACTCCGCCCAACCCCAAAACCCGGACTCCCGGCTCGAACCGACCCGGACTCTGGGCTCTGGCTCTGGTTCCGACCAGACCACGCCTGACGTTCGTTCGTTTGTTTGTTCGCTCGTTTGGCGTTCTGTCGTTTACGCCATCGACCTAAAAATCAGTTAGTCGCCGTCTGTCTGTATGTTCCTCTACGTTTGTGTTTGTGTGTGTGTATGCATCTGTAACTGTGTGTGTGTTTCGGGTATATTTGTGTGAACAACTGCAAAAAGGAGTGTCTGTAACGACAGAGGCAGCGCCAGCTGCGCCACACACAAAAAATGTAGCATACATTTTGAGGCAAGCGCTATACATATGGTGAAGTAGGAACAAGCAGAGAAAGGAGGGAAAATTTTCAATAAAAATAATAAAGTTGGAAAGTTGGAAAATTAATAAAATTCCATAAAAAAACTGCTTTGAAAGAGTAGACATGAGTAGACATACTATATATTATACATATAGGGTATATATGTACATATGTATGCTACATAACCATATCTGTTTTATTTTACACATTACCTCCAATATATAGGTTATCATCGCCTCAAGTACACAGAGAAATATAGCAAAAAAAAAAAAACCCACGACAACAGGCTGCAATAGGCGGCAGACAGTGACAGTGACGACACTCGTCATTGGATAAGAGAGGGGAATTCAGCGCGGGTGCATGTCAAAAGCTCATGACACTGACTGACCGCAGCACTCGCTGCCCCAACAGGGCGGGGCTTTTCTGTCCCCGCCAGACATGTCAGACATGGAGGCGGCCAATTCATTAGGACTCTTCACCTCTCTTTTTGGTTGCATGCCCCCCTTTACACCATCCGGTCCCCCTCCGCTCGCACTGGTGCTCGCTACTGGGTCTCTGATCGATGGCTCTCTGCGGTCACGCGACTGTCGGGCCCACGCTGCTCTCGTTGGCTCGCTTTTGGTCGACCTACATTCAATTTGCGAGCGACCGCAAAACGCAGTCTGACAGTTGACGATTATAACCCACCCGATGATGATGATGTTGATGCAGCAGCAGCATCCATCCCATGTATACATAATATGTCGAAGGGTAGATGCAACGTTAAATGAGAGCAGCAGCAGCAACAACGGAAATATGATTTTACGCCATGAAAATTGGGAATGGATAGTGGAACGCAGATAGGTGCTGGATGGGTGGGTGTTATCCACTTGTGACAGTGCGCTTTCAACGGATGTTGACTTAAATTAAGTTTTAAAGAAACTTTTTCTTAACTAATTACTAAATTGTACGGAAAATCTTTATAATTTTTCGATGAAAGTGTTTGTAAATGCTTTGAGAGACATTTCGAATTGGGTTAGCTTTGATTTTTCATGGAAATTACTTTGTTACATTATTGTTTAAATAGATAAAAAGAAAATAAGAGCTAGTATAGGATATTAAGAAGAATATGTGAGACCGTCCATTCTAAATAATATTTAGATGCTACTCTTGTAAGCCAAAATTTTGCCATTAATCAATGATTTACTAGATACATGTATTAATAAAAGATTCAACAATCTCATCCACGTTTTTCATATTATCCCGAGACGAACGGTGCCAAATGTTCATATTCAACGGATGTCCATTATAAACGAGAAGGAACGTGTGAGTCGTTTCTGGGGACACGACTCTACTTATACCCGTACTCAGTCAGTATATACATTATTGAGCTTATGATTTTTTAGAATTTTAGAAAAAAAAAAATTTTACATTTCACTTTTTTTTGCTACATCTGCTATCTACATATACAATGTCTATTCGACATCTAACATGTAGATTGTACATGTTCCATTCATATTCTACATCTCCTCCGCTAGGGGTTGCTCGCGCACTGAACGCGGCAGAGTGTGCGAGCGAGAAGGAAAATGAGTTGCGTTGTTGTGGCAGGAGGGGGCAACAGAAAATTAATTTCTTCATTCTGGCTATAATTATGATCCGATCTGATTCAGATTCGGTAGTCTGGTAGATATGGATATTCTCTACGATACTTTATCGTATCTTAAAAATTGTGCCTGCCACAGATTTTCGTCCTTTGTGTGGGCGGAAGGGGGCGGGGCGAAATTTTGAAATACACTTGTAGCAGTGTGATATCACATGAGTCTGGAAACCAAATTTGGTTACCATAACTCTTATAGTCTCTGAGATCCAGGCGCTCAACAAGACGGACAGACGGACGGTCGGACGGACGGACGGACAGACAGACACGGCTATATCGACTCGGCTATTGATGCTGATCAAGAATATATATACTTTATGGGGTCGGAAAATTTTCCTTCTCTGCGTTACACACATCAACTTTTACCACAAATCTAATATACCCCTTAACTCTTTTTTGAGTACGGGTATAATAAACAAAGTGACGACTTCTTAGGTGGATCGAAATGGCGGGAAAGTCCACAAAGCATTAGTGACTTCGTTCATGGTCACAGTTTTTCATATTTCCATGTACCGGTTTTCGGTTCAATCAGTTAATTTTAATTACTGGTTGCAGATCCGGTTTAATTCCCATTCCAGAGCTAATGGATTTATTCCTTGTACCACAATTCTGACTCCATATATATCTACTTCCCATATGAATTCAAAAAGTCGCTCACATCATCTGGAAGAAACAGTCCACTGATATACAACGAAAATGAAGTTAATATTCCTCGTAGGCGTTATTTTTTCCCTGTCTGACCTTTCACTGGCTCTAAAGAATCGTGAGTATAACCAGGGAATGGAAAGAACTGAATGGAATATTGATATATCTGTGATAAATGTTACTTGCAGCGATCTGTGGTCAAGAACCGGGCAAGCAGGGCAAAGGTGAATTGATTTGCTTTGCATATATTCCGAAATTTTCCTATTATCCCGAAAAGAACGAGTGCGTAAAATGGATATACGGAGGATGTGGTGAGAACGATAATATTTTCGAAAAGAAAGAGGAATGCGAGTCTAAATGCAAAGAATAGTCTATATGCTGAGTGAATAATAATTTTTACGAAAAAATTGGTCAGCAATAAAGGCTATTCAGTTAAAAATTACGTCTTCTTAAGTGGATCGAAAGATGAAAGTGTCTTTCGGTCATGGTTCCGTATTTTTGGTTTCCATGTATCGGTTTCGGTTCAGGTACTGACCTTGAATCAGTTTATTTAAGTTCACGGCTTAATTGCCTTTCCAGAACTAATGGATTTATTCATTATTTTTTATTGCACTACACTACAACACGACAATTAAGCTGTGGCCAAAAATGACTTTTTATACCCGTACTCAAAAAAGAGTTAAGGGGTATATTAGATTTGTGGTAAAAGTGGATGTGTGTAACGCAGAGAAGGAAACGTTTCCGACCCCATAAAGTATATATATTTATGATCAGCATCAATAGCCGAGTCGATATAGCCATGTCTGTCTGTCCGTCTGTCTGTCTTGTTGAGCGCCTAGATCTCAGAGACTATAAGAGCTAGGGCAACCAAATTTGGTTTCCAGACTTATGTGATATCCCACTGCTACAAGTGTATTTCAAAATTTCGCCCCGCCCCCACAAAAGACGAAAATCTGTAGCAGGCACATTTTTTAAGATACGATAAAACTAAAAACGCAGTATCGTAGAGAATGACCATATCTACCAGACTGCCGAATCTGAATCAGATCGGATCATAATTATAGCCAGAATGAAGAAATTAATTTTCTGTTGCCCCCTCCTGCCACAACAACGCAACTCATTTTCCTTCTCGCTCGCACACTCTGCCGTGTTCAGTGCGCGAGCAACCCCTAGCGGAGGAGATGTAGAATATGAATGGAACATGTACAGTCTACATGTTAGATGTAGAATAGACATTGTATATGTAGAATAGCAGATGTAGCAAAAAAATGTAAACTTTAATTTTAATTTTTTCTCGTTCTTATAGATTTCGGGGTTTACAAATTTTTAACCTATTATGGTTTTTTTTTATGGTTTAGTTTTTTTTTTAAAGAATTTTATAAAATCTGATATTTTTTTAATGAAATACCGAAATAATACCGAAAAAATTATGAAATTTGAATTTGAAAGCTTAATATCTTCCAGGCGTTAAGCTACAGGTACAAAGAGTCTGGGTCTGACTTATAACTGCATTTGCCAGCTTTTCAGAACTGCAAAGTTCTATGCAACCAGATATAAGATATTTAAGTTTTGTGAACAATAAAAGCACTAATTTCAGGTAAAATTAGTTTTGAGTCGTTTTGGTCAAACGGCTGCAAGTTGACCGTTTATCCATAGATTTTAATGATCAATACCTTAAACGACGCCTTATTAATGCGTCTATATATTGGCCAAGAATTATTTTTTTGTCGAGTTTTCAAGTTGTTAAAGTCAAAATTTCGAAAAAAAAAAATACCGCAAGAAATGATGAAATTTGAATTTGAAAGCTTAATATCATCCAGGTGTTAAGGTGCAGATACAAAACGTCTGGGTCGGATTTTAAGCTGCATTTGTCAGCTTTTCAGATCTGCAAAGTTCTTTGCAACCAGATATAAGATACTTAAGTTATGTGAAAAATAGAAGCACCACCTCTGAAAAAAATACCATATTATAAAAATTCTTTAAAAAAATTAAACCATAAAAAAAATTAAGTACTACAAAAATTTTTACATCCCGAAATCTATCAGATAAACTCATTTTAGTTCACAGCCTGAATAAAAGGTTAAATTTTGTTGAGTAGTGTTATTTATTCCAATTCCTACTCTGATATATCTACTTCCCATATGAAACTAAATAAGTCGCTATACATTATCTGAAAGAAGCAGTCCACTAATCTAAAACGAAAATGAAGTTAATTTTTCTCGTATGCGTTATCTATGCCCTGTCTGACCTTTCACTGGCTCTAAAGGATCGTGAGTATAAGGAAAAAATAGAAAAATCGCAATAAAATATTGATATATTTTGTATTAAATTTATATTGCAGCGATTTGTGGTGAGCGACCGGCCACAAACTCCGTTGGTAAATTAATGTGTCTGGAATATTTACCGAGATTTTCCTACTATCCCGAGAAGAAGGAGTGCAAAATGTTTGTATACGGCGGATGTGGTGGGAACAAAAATAATTTCCGAAACCTAACTTCATGCGAGGCCAAATGCAAGGAATAATCCATTGTTTAATTTCCTGAGTAAATCATAATTCATACGAATAAATTGTTCAGCAATAAAAGGATATATAATTGAAAATGTCATCTTTTCTCTGGGACGATATTGATGGACAGTCCACCAAGCCACAGCGAGAATTAAGTCAATTTCCATCGTGGGCATCACTTCGTCTTTCTGGCTTTGCACTTTAACATCTCCGACACCGATTAGCATTAGGCGTTACAGACTTCGCGTATCAGTCATGGTTCATGGTTCCGTATTTTCGGGTTCCATATATCGGTTCTGGATTAAGGTATAGGTATTGACCTGAATCAGTTCATTTCAGGTAATGGTTTGATTCCCTTTACAGAACGAATGAAATTATTCTGTGTACCACAATTCATATTCCTTTTAGATGTACTTCCCATAAAATCACATTAGTCGCTCGTTATTATCTGGAAGACGCAGATCACCAATGAAAATGAAGTTAATTTGTATCGTAGGCATCATCTTAGCTCTGTATGGGGTTGCACTGTGCTCTGAGCCGCCGAGGATAAAAGATCGTGAGTATAACGAGAGAATGGGAAAATCAAACTGCGATATTGATATATTTGTACGCAATGTCTCTTGCAGCGATCTGTAGTCAAGAACCGGCCAAAAACTCACTTGGTAATAGAACTTGCTTTGCCTATGAGCCACGTTTTACGTATTATAACAAGACGAACGAGTGTAAAGGGTTTATATACGGTGGTTGTGGTGAGAATGATAATAGTTTCTTCGACAAAATTGCATGCGAGGCAAAATGCGTGTAAAAATCCATTCCATTTTTTACTGTTATATATATAATAATAAAATGACATGCAGTCGAAAATGTCGACTTGCTATCGAACTAGATAGAATGACTTAAATCAATGCGAATATCACAATTCTTTTTCCATGTACATACTCGTATAAGTACTTCCTATATCCATATTTTATTTAGAAGGCACAGTCCATCAATCCTCATTTACAGCGTAGATATGTATCGTCTTTGCGTTTTTTGGCGTGGCTCTTTGTTTTCCACGACACTAATGTAAGTCTGTTTTGGTCATGGTTAGAAGAATATCGGTTCACGGCTTCAGTTTCGGTTTAATTCCATTTACAGAACTAATATATTTATTCTTACTCCTATCAACTTCCCAAATGAACTCAAATAAGTCGCTCCACATAATCTGGAAGAAACACTCCACTAATCTTCAACAAAAATGAGGTTTATTTTGCTTGTAGGCATTATCTTTGCCCTGGCTGACATTTCACTGGCTCTAAAGGATCGTGAGTATAGCGAGGGAATGGAAAGAGCGCAATGGAATATTGATATATCTGTGTTAAATGTTTCTTTCAGCGATCTGTGGTCAAGAGCCGGGCAAGCAGGGAAAAGGTGCAGTGATATGCTTGGCATATATTCCGAAATTTACCTATTATCCCGATAAGAACGTTTGCGTAAAATGGATATACGGAGGATGTGGTCAGAACGATAATATTTTCGAAAAGAAAGAGGAATGCGAGTCTAAGTGCAAAGAATAGTCTATTGTTTAATAATGTGAGTGAATAATAATTTTTACGAAAAAATTGGTCAGCAATAAAGGGATATTCAATTGAAAATGACGTCTTCTTAAGTGTCTTTCGGTCATGGTTCCGTATTTTTGGTTTCTATGTATCGGTTTTGTTCAGGTATTGACCTTGGATCAGTTTTTTTAAGTTACCGGTTTAATTCCCTTTCCAGAACTAATGGATTTATTCTGTGTTCCACAATTCTTCCTCTGATATGTATATCTACTTCCTATATGCAACCAAGTAAGTCGCTCCACATAATCTGGAAGAAGCAGCCCACTAATCTAAAATGAAAATGAAGTTAATTTTTCTCGTAGGTGTTAGCTTTTCCCTGTCTGACCTGTCACTGGCCCTAAAGGATCGTGAGTACATAGAGGGGATGAAAAGAGCTCAATGGAGTATTGATATATCTTGATATATATTGATATATATGCTAAATGTTTCTTGCAGCGATCTGTGGTCAAGAGCCGGCCAAAAATGGCAACGAAACAGACTGCTCTCCATCTGCTTCTCAGCTAGTATTTACCTATTACAAAAAGACGAACAATTGTGAGACTTTTCGATACTTCGGATGTGCTGCGAACGAAAATCATTTCCCAAAAGAAGTGTTTTGCAGGATGTTATACAAGACATAATCCTTTGTTTTATATCGTAGAATAGAATATACGAATAAACAAACTCTATGGATCTGTCGATTGTGGTTTTAATAGATTATGGGGCTTTGTATGATCTAAGAAACGATTTGAGAATCAATGTAGCAATCACACAATGAGCATCGTTCTTCCTATTACAATTCTCTCTTATCCTTCCATTTCGCTTCTCGTTTGTGGTTCCCTCTTGTTGGTGCATATATGCATAATGTATAGTGCCTCAAAGTATTGTAAAGCGACAATCACACTGAAATCTGCTTTTGAGTTGGCCAAGAGAGCATTGCATAGTTTTGTTGGTTGCAATTTTGGTTTTGTAGACCCTCTTTCCCCATACCCCCATGCCCTCTTTAGGCATGACCTGATTCTGTGTTTGCTGCTGGGGTTTTCTTCTGCCAGCAAGAGTTGAAGGTCGTTTTCTGTTGGAAATGAGAAAACCCGCAGCCAACAACCGACAACCAGCAGCATTCGTAGTCGCAGCTGCAACTGAATCTAACAGAGAGAGACCCTTTCTCTTTCCCCTACTACCTACTCTCTATATTTCTCTGTTTGGGCTCTCCATTTCTCACACATTCTTTGCTGGTCGCCGACAGCACTTTGTGCACCACTTTGGTGAACCACACGCCCACATACTAGTCCGAGTACCATATCCATCTGTAGTACAATCCAGCAAATGGAGACGCAGACTCTTGACGAGGCTCTGGCATAATGGAGCCACATCCAAATCCACAACCAAATGCGAATCCGAATGGGGGGAAATGCTAATACAGTCAGAACTCTCTGTAGAGGCAAGTTGGGGAGAATTATTTGGAAAGTGGGTCGCCTTTGGGAGCACTCTTGTTTGGTTGGTTTCCAAAACTCTTCCGAAGGATCTCCACTGTACCATAAAGCAGTTGAAAGCTGGCATTTGTATGAGTGTATTCATGAGTGTGTGTGTATGTGCGAGTGTATTTGCGAGTGTCTCTCCGACGACTATTTACAATGGCATTGCAGTTTCTTTTGTTAGTCAACCACTTGCGATGCGAGAGCTGGCAAAAACCGAACAACAATCTGCCCTGGACTCTGCCACCCACTTGCCCCACCCCTATTGCTCCCACTCTTGGTCTTATCCCAGAATATTTCCATATCACTTTTAATCTTTATTATCGATGACACAACGACTGTGGGCAACCATTTTCTACTTGTATTTTTTATTCGTTCTTTTGCTATTATTTTTCCACAGTTTTTCTGCCATCATTCTGCTTTTTATACCATCGACAAGAGGATATTACGATTGGGAGCAACTCTTTCGGCAACAGAGACTTACCATAAATAGCGTTACTAAGATTTCAGGCCTGAAACGTTGCTTAAGGTATTATTTCTGCTACAAAAGATCAAGAGAGGAAGAACGGAAATGTATCTAGTTACATCATGTTTCATCCAATTTGAAAATTCTATTGAAAAACATGTAGGTGTTTAGTCAATTTTTTTTTTATCGAAATCGATTAATAATTGATTAAATTAATAATTTCTTTTCTGATCGATTACTTTGTATAATACAGTACTTAAAGCTGAATTATTTATAAAAATTTGTTAATTAGCGGTAATTTGACATACAAATTGTTTACCTTTAAGGTATTTAAAGTTCTTATATTCCCTTCTGTAATTTCTTCGCTTTTTTTCTGTACATAGCTTTCCAAATGGCGAATGTCTCCCATTGCTTACTGCCCCCATTACCGCTCCTCCGCTCCACTCCTATATTTTCTTTCTTGCTTCACTTTCTTCTTCCCTTCGTACCTTTTCCCATCCTGTGCTGTAGTTCTGATTCGTTTTTCGCCTTTTTCCTTTCTCTGTTTTTTTTTTTGCAACAATTTTGCAACTTTATGTTGTCCATTCCCCGATTCCCATTCCCCTCCCCACCCCTGCCTTCTGGGAGTTTGCCTCGCCGGTCGCGTAATTCATGTGGAAAGCGTCGCCAGTGTCGAGACCCCATAAAAACCCAAGTGCCGTGGTAGGGGTAATGGTGGCACGCCGGAATGGGAGCAGCAGCAGGAACAGAATATGGTTCGAGGAGTCCGAGACAACAAGAAGAAGCAGTAGAAAAGGCCAAATAGGGGAGAGGCGGGGCAGTTTTATGGTTGGGAAGGTAGAACCTATTTTTTCAATGTGTCCTTCGTCCTATTGTATAGCCAACAATGTCTGCCACTCCCTAGACCCCAACCTCTCTCCTCACCACACCGTGCCACTTTCCATTCATTACCAACTGCGTCGCGTCTGAAATTTTCATTTATATTTTTTTGTACTTTGCTCTCTTTCACACACTCTGTAGCTGTCTCTCTCTTTTGGCCGACATAATTTGCTAACTGAAATGGAAAACATTTTCGACAGGCCAAAGCGGGGCGCAGAGTCGCCGGACGGCAGGCGGCAGACACGCGCACCAATACAGAGTCAAAAATGAAACGAGCTCACACAGACAGGCGGGCCGTGAGGAGGAGACAGGAAGCAGACACAGGCGGTGGGAGGAGGAAAAAGGAGGAGACAGGCGAAACCAGGACGCAAGAGACAGCAGAAAAAGGTGCTGGGGGAAAGGAGCGCAGAACACACAAAAAAAAATGGTGGCACAGACAGGAAAAAGCATGTCGCCGACGAGGACGAATCGGATATGGAAACACAAGCGTGTGCTTGCGTGTGGCTGTAGCTTGAAAGCCCATTGTCCTGTTTTTTTTTGCGTTTCTTATCGATGGGACTGGTACTGGCACTGGACTGGCGTTGACGATGACTAGGACGATGCCAGGGCGATGGTGATGGCGACCCCAGAAGCTTGTCACAGCTATAAGCTTTTGTTCTTTTTTTTTCTAGTTACCCCCAACTGAAACTAAATGTTTTTCAGGACTACTTCTCTGTGCTTCACAACATGTCATAAAAGCGTGCGACAACAGCAAAATGTTATAATAATGACTCAAGTAGGGATGGGTCTGAAAATGTTCACATCCCATTCTCTCTCTTTGTGTTAATGTAGAAAGTGTGTGACACTCCTTTATATTTGTATACATATGTACATTATTTGATATCCCTTTATGGGTAAGGTGCGTTTCACAACTTTAAGACTGATTAATATTAATAAAATATTTTCTAGAACCCGATACAATTCTTTACATATGGTGAAAGCGATGAAAATATGTGGGTTATCATGGTTTTTCTTATCGACTGAACCGCATTCTCTATTCAAAACACTATGCCGCATTTCATAGCCTATTTTTTTGTTGTATATAGACGAAGGACCTTGTCTTGGTCAAATGACAGCAGCCATTCACTCCACCATCTCTGACCCTGAAACAGACACCGCGAATAATACGCGCAAAAATTTATATTTCACGCGATTTTAGTGTCGAAAATATTTCGTTATGAAATTAACATTGCATTGCTAAATGCAAATGTGGGTATAATGATGAAAAACAAATGTTAAATCGGCTAATGAAATCCGGATTCGAATGGGAGTGCTAAGTGGAAAAACACTACGTCGCACGTGCCTTCGATTTGAATGGGATAGATAGACAGGTAAATGGTAGATGGATGAATATGTCTGATCAGACAATTGCTGGAACAGACAAACGGAAAGGCAGAAGAATGATAGATGTTGTGTAATTAACGAACGAGGGTTTAAACCAGTGTTTGATTTGTGGTTTTGGAATGAATAAAAGGTTGGATATGATGCGCAAAGGATTGGATGATGATTAAGAGTAAGCATTGCCTAGGATACATAAATAATACGCTCTTCAAGGGTCTTCTCTTAAACATAAAATATAATCATAAAAATAACAAAAATGTAAAAGGGGTTTACTTCTCTAACCATATCACCCATTTCCTATTCTCATTCCCTATTATTTTTACCTCTTCTCTGCATTATCTTTGGGGCGGCCGTGTACCTTCTCATAGATCATTGATCACCATAGAAAGCCATAACTTGAACAAGCAACTTCCATGGCCATGGGCCACACACACAATGGATGGATGCAACTGCCACGGAGGCCTGAGATGCCACAAGATAGAGGGGCCCAAAGAGCGGTGGCAGTAGCAACAGTTGCATCGTCCCAAAGGAAGTCGAGGTCTTTTGGTCTGCGGCACAAGGTTTTCCATTGGAGTCATCGTCGTCGTCGTCGGTCGTCAGGTGATGAATGGTAATGAAATTGTTGCTCTGTCAGTTGTTGCTGCTGCTGTTGTTGCACCGCCGCTTTGTCTGGCAGTTGGTGCCTCCAGAGCCTCAGCCAACAGTTGCCTCAATAAAAACTAATGCAGAGGCAACGTCAGTTGTTGTTGCAGCCGATAATCATCTGCTGTTGCCGCTGCTGCTGCGGTTGTGGCCATGGTGGTGACGGTGGTGGCTTGGCCCACTTGTTGCCACCACCCATAGACGATGTTGCCACTGCCACTGCCCCAGCCATAGCCACAGACTGCAGTCCCATCAGATGTGGTAGCAGAAAAACATAAAATTTTATGCATTTGTATTTCTTGTGAAGCGAACAGTAAGCAATACTAGTTACTCCTCGTACGCCCCTTGACAGACCCAAAAACAATTGTCGGGTTTCCTCTCCAGTCAACTTCAAACGGTTTGTTGCTGTTGTTTCTGCTGTTGCTGCTGCTGCTGTTCGCTGGCTCGTTTTGATTAATCTGACTCTGTAATGCAAAAAACCATTTGGCCAAAAGCAGTATCCACAATTAAAGACCGAAACGTGGTATACTCTTGAAAAATGGATCGTTTATTATGGGATAAAATGTTTCTAAAGTACGAAGAAAAACAATGAAACCTAAAGATTATTCAGATTTAAAAATTTACATTTGGGATATATTTTTTTTGTTCCGTTTCAAGTGTCACTTGTCCTACAGTGTCCCTCGGTCGGTTCCCTGTTTTTTCCTTTGACGCATTACAATCACAATACCCTCTTTAAGTGTATAACAAAAAAAAACCTTTGAGAGAAACAAGTTATTACAACAAGATAGCGCGGAAAAAAATACAGTCTTGGGACTGGCACCGCCTCGTGCCTCATGTTCAACCCAGTTAAAAGGCCAAACTTGACCTGGCCATGGAATGGATTTAGATACGAGTACGAGAGTATATCCTCATAAAAAGGGGGAAATTCGCGTATAATTTCTCTCGTTTTCTTTCGGTTTTTGGGGGCATGCCGCCCACGTTCCTTACATTTTTGGCACGAGGCACAATAAAATTGCGGAAATGATTCAAGTCAAATGATTGACAGGCATTGATCGGGCGGGAAATTGCCGAGAGAGATGGAGCATGTAGCTTGATTGGATAATTGCAGGACGCCCTCGTAACGAGAGCCAGAGAAAAGTCAGAAAAAAAAGAACGAAATACCCCAAAATCACAGCATTAAATTGTAGCTTCTTAAGAATATATTATTTAGGATGGGAATTATCATTTGCCAAGCGCACAAAATCTAATTTTATACAAAGTAAGAGATCCACTACTGCAATATGTCTTTCGAATAAAAATTTAATTGCTCGAATTATCAGAAATTGAACTCCGAGCCCATCGCAATTTTTTATCAGCTAAAAACTTTTGTAAATGCATGCACACATACTTTATGTGCATATATTCAATTAAGTCGTCAAGAACCGAAGCAACGCAAATCTAACGGAAAGATGAGCATTCCTTGGCTGAGAATAGACATAAAATAAATCATTATTCTTTTTTAAAAGATTATCAAAAATTTCGGTAATTAACATTTTTAACATTTTATTTCTGGAGTTATCCAATGTCCAAAATGTAGAAAATTTCATCGAATAATATTCGACTTAGTCTTAGACTTGGAATTGTGCAACTGGAGAGAACGTAAAAACGAGCTGAGGATTCGTTATATAATACCTTTGGTCTTTCTTCAATGGATAGTCCAGACGACAGCACAGCCAACGTATGACATTCAGATCACATTCAGATTATTCTTGAGCTGCTTCTTCTGGTTGGAACAAACCTCCCTAATTCCCAGGGCTTTAGTTGGCTGGTGATTCCAGTCACTACAGCACTTATCACTGTTACCAGAGAGGCATCTAATGTATATAAAATGTATTTAATGCGCAAAGTGTT